AACTAATGATATAGTTCAGACCCAGGCTTTCAGAATTTAACTGGAATTCACTTTTAAAGATGATCATTTAGGTTTATCCATTTAAGTTTCTTCAGACACCCCCTTTTAACTGAGTATCTCAAAAGTCAAGGAATGAGGTGTCTACACATCTTCTTGCTTGCTAAGTGATGCCCATGGACTTTTCTTGCTCAAACGCTTTCTCTACTATGCCACTGTCCTCCAAAAGGAGTAAATAACCAAGTTTTGAGGATAGGCTGCAAAGCCGGACAGGGTACCACTTCTAGCTTCCCCACCAGCCTCAGGTGAGTTATCAGCCCCTCCATACCCCTACCTAGCCTGCTGTAGGCTCTTCTTCTGGGGACCTCTGGCAAGAGGCTAAGGAGCCTTCCTTTCCCCCAATAGGATAAACTCCCTGATTCCTCTTCACAGACAGACCCAGCCCCAGCCCCCCACCTCAACACCTCAAGTCAGCTGGGAAAAGGGATCCACAGGCCAGTTTCCTATGGTAAGCCTGAGTCCCCAACACCCTACACTCTATTTCTAGGCACTTCGTCAGGGATGGCTCCCCACTGGCACTGACTTGAATATATGCCCAGTGGTCTCATCTGGCCTGCCACAGGCTGCAAATGGGAACCCCATGGTGGTTCCCTGCTGGGTTCCAGGTATTGCTGATGCCTGGAACATTCTCTTCCTCCTGCCTGGATGCTATATTTCACTTGCTGGCTTCCAAGGAGGGTGTTGGAGTCTAACATCAGGCCTTATCTGCCACCCTTCACCCCACTTGGTCCCAAAGTTTTCCCTATACTCCCTGCAATGCATGAACTCACCTTTGCATTTGTCCCCATAAGTGATCCCGCAGTCCCCAGCATTGGTAAAAAGGCCAAAGGAGTTGAACAGAACACTCTAGCTAAATGACATAACCAGAACACAGTTTCCAATGTCAAGGCCCCACTGAACATTAAAGAGTGGATGGGTTAAGAGGCACTTTACTAAGTGCCTCTGCTGGGCAAGCACTGGAGGCCTCAAACAATTGCATAGTTGGCAAAGTGACACCAACACCAGCTACTAGCACCACTGTGGGATTGTGGCTGAAATGTGCTCATTCTCTTCATCTGGATAAACTTGATTTTTTCTGTGCTGCAGAAGTTCCTGAAACAAATTAAACCCTTCCAGCTACCATTGTGCCTGCTTCAAGTCCCCCTAGTGTGATGGAAGGAATGAAGTAGATGGCAGAATCTCAACAGCAAACAAAACATTAAGGGAAACGGCAGGTTTTATTGCTGAGGTGAAAGGGAATTTTTCTCTTTTTAATTATGCAGCCAATACATGTTCCTTGTAGAAAAAATAGAACACACTTAAAAGAAGCTAAATTCAAGGCTGGGACTATGGCTCAGCGGTAGCGTGCTTGCCTGTCATGTGTGAGGCGCTGGGTTCAATTCTCAACACTGCATATAAATAAATAAAAAAAGGTCTACCAACAACTCAAAAAAACATTTTTAAAAAATGTTTTTAAAAAAAGAGCTAAATTCCCAGGTTTATAAATGACAATTACAATTAAAAATAGTGGTAGCTACTCCAAATGGTACCGTTCCCATTTACTATGGGCCTGCACTTTCAAATCTGTTATCTTCCTTATTCTCCAGTTTTACTGAAAGAGCAGAGGGGTTAAGAATCCAGGATTTGAGCCAGGCGCAGTGGTGCGTGCCTATAATCCCAGTGGCTCTGGAGGCTGAGGCAGGGGGATCACGAGTTCAAAGCCAACCTCAGCCACAGCAAGGCACTAAGACAGGGAAACCCTGTCTCTAAATAAAAATACAAAATAGGGCTGGGAATGTGGCTCAGTGGTTGAGTGCCCCTGAGTTCAATCCCGAGTACAAAAAAAAAAAAAAAATACAGGATTTGGACAAACCCTAATTCAGACTAAGCCTCTCTTCACCTCGATTGCCTCATCTATAAGGTGGGAATCATAGTAGCACCCACCCAGAGCTGGTGTGAGGATTAAATCTAAGATTACACATAAAACATCTCAGCGCAACACCTGATAAAACAGCAGGCTTTCAGCGTCCCCCATCTTAACAGGTGATAAAACGATTCAGCAGAGGTAACACACCCAAGCTCACAAATTAATCAGCATTCGTGGGGGCCATTAACCCCCACTGCCAATGGGTCACAGAAGCAGGTGGTTATTTCATAATCAACAGACTCTAGATAAACAGGAGGGCAATAAAATATTTGCTGTCATGTATTTTAATGTAGTTTAATGATATTGATAATCCACTTCTTCACCCTGAACCAGTTATATAATTTGCAGGGCCTAGTAAAAATAAAAATGCAAGGCACCCCTTATTCAAAATAGTTAAGAATTTCAAGATGGTGACAGCAGAGCATTGAACCACGCATGGAGAGGAGCTGTGCAACTGCCCTGTCAGGGCCCTTCCAATGGCCAAGTTTCAAGACTGAAGTTGGATTATACTAACTTTCCCAGTGGAGACCTGCCTTATGAATACATGTCAATTGTCTCCTCCTCAAATGCTGCACAATAATTCCTGAGAACTGAGTCAAAACCAAAGAATTTGCATGTATGAATATTCTTCCTGACCTCCTTGACAGCATTGAGGACCCAAAGTTTACTTGGGGAAAGTCTGCGGCAAGATTTTAATTCCCAAGTTCTAATCACAAATGTCCTAAGTTTTTTCAAGGTAAAAGACAAAAAACTTTCAGTAGACATTCTTATCATAGTTTGCAGAGGAAAGAGATAACTTTGATACACTTAAAATAAAAAACCAGAATTAGGTGCGTGGCCCATGCCTGGAATTCCAGCTACTCAGAAGGCTGAAGCAGGAGAATCACAAATTTGAGGCCAGCCTTAACAACTTGTCAAGCCCATTTCAAAAAAAAAACAATAAAAAAGAGGGCTAGAGATGTAGTTCATTAGTAGAGTGCCACTGGGTTAACTCCCTAGTACCACTTTAAAAAAATAGATTATAAACCAAGACTTTGTTTAGACTTTTTTTATAAAAATTTAAACTTTTTACTTCACCTCCAATGAGTGGAGAGCACACTGTTTTCAGAAACTGGAATTGAAAGTGTGTGGTTTAATGATGATGACTCTTTTTATGATACAGAATTTTCATTCGTGATAGGATCTTAATTCTGTGATTTTCTTTGTACTTTTTCTCTGCGTTACATAATTGGGCAGCTACAATATTGAAAAGTGCAGATGCAAAAAGCAGACCCCTAAAAATCAGAACTAATTATTTTTAAAATGCCCCTCGTGAGACTTAGAGCTAAAAGTAAAATGGTAGAGACTACCTCTGAGCCACATCTAGTATTAGGGTATTAAATCATCAGGTATACTGGGATACCTAATGGTGAATCACTTTGTCTGGGAACATGTGTCATATCTCCTTAACTCTTAAATAGCTACTGTGTCATTTAATTAAGAATAATGACTCTTACAAAACTTTGTTCTGTCTGGAGTTCTTTTTTATCTTTTATTTTTATTTTTCATTTTACTGGGGAAGGAACCAGGGGTGCTCTACCACTGAGCTATATCCCAGATCTTTTTATTTCTTATTTTGAGGCAAAGTCTCTCTAAATTGCCCAGAATGGCCTCAAACTTGTAATCCTCCTGCTTTAGCCTTCCCAGTAGGTGAGATTACAGGCATGTACCCAGCTGGAGTTCTTTTCTTAATTGAAAAAAGAGCAACTTTGAATTCCAGTGGATGTTCAACCAACTTAAATATAGCAAATTGCAAGCATGCACTTAGCAGTAACTGTTCAAACATGGTAAGGCTGATCTTCCTCAATTCCTGCCAACAAAAAGAGGACCAATGCTCCTTTTCCTCTAAAATTTCTTGACAATTACAGGGTCAATTTTGAGGCATTCAAAAATTAGATCTTTAACATGCTGAATAAAATGAATGAAACCAACAAGAACAATTACACCAGATTGCAAAGGTAATTTCAAATCCCTATCCTACTCACTAAATTTGTTGGTTTGTAACTTGAGGACACCAGAACTTCCTAGAATTGTCAGGATCCCTTAAAGAAAGATTTCTCAACTAAGACACAAATGACATTTGAAGCCAGATAATTCTGTTGTGGGTGGCTGTCTTGTGCACTGTAGGATCCGGCAGCCTGGCAGCCTCTGCCCACTAGATGCCAGTAGCACCCACTCCTCACAGACACCCAAAAATGTCTCCATACTTTCCCAAATGTCCCCCCCACCACCACCAGGAGCAAAGTCACCTCCAATTGAGAACCTCTGCTGTGAATAGATGGCAATAAATAAAAAACAAAAAATTAAGGCACTTCGGAACAAGACGGAATTTTAAGGAGATCAAACACCGGGAACTCTCAAACTTTACTATGTATCAGTCTTTCTGGGGAGCTTGTTAAATGCTGATTCCCAGGCCGCGCCCAAGAACTATCAATATTGTCAAGTACTGGGTTCGCCTACATCACTACCCACATCCTCATTCTAAGGATAAATGAACGTGGACCTTAGAACGAAAATGCCTTGCCCAAGGTCACAGGGCAAGTTGGAGCCTGGACTATAAAACCAACCAAGCCCTTCTTCCCAAGGGTGGGTGGGGTAAGGGTGTGTGTGTTGTTCTTATGCCTTTGAGGCAACAGAGCTTAAAACTGGTAAAGGTGATGCATTCTAGAGCTAGCCCCCCGAGTTAAAATTCCGGTATTAATGGCGGGGGGCAGCCTCAGGCAAAGCAAGTGCTCTGAGAGCCTCAGTTTCCTTCTCTACTAAATGAAATAATAATAATACCTACCTCCTAGCAGAAAAGGTCAAAAGAGATGACACACAAAATTCCCAGGGCCGGGCCTGGCCTGGCATTACAAAAAACACACGACACTTATCCTGTTATTATTACTGTCCCACGGCTGCAAAGCTGAAAGGGTCTGAGGGTCCCTGGAGGGAGAGCGCTGGAAATGGGCTCAGGAAGACGAAACGACCCCCCAACTCCTTCCGCCCCACAGCTCACCTGGCCCCGCAGCTCCTTCTCCAGCTGCCGGTAGTCGTTGTTCCAGACCAGGAGGTGCAGGGGGAAGTGACTGCTGGCGTCGCTGGTCGAGGACATGGCGAGGAGGCCGCGGCCGGGGTCTGGCCGTCCGCCAGGCAGAAGCCTCGGTCCCGGCGGGGTCTCCGCCGTCCGCCCGGCGGCTGGCAAGCGGAGAGAACAGGAGGAGCGGGAGAGCGAGCGAGGGACGCGGTAGGCGGCCGGGCGGCCTAGCGGGCCGGGTGTGGGGCGCGTGAGGTCTTGGGGTCGCGGGCCGGGTCGGGGACCGGGTCGGCCGCGCCCACCCCGCGCCCCGCCGTGCTCGCGCCCGCGCTGACAGCTCCCGAACCGACTTCTGCGGGCCGAACTGCCCCAAACAGGGAAGTGCGAGGGGCGTACTACCGCGCGCCGCGGTAGGAGGGGCCGACGACAGGCAACGGGTCCGAGGTCCGCCAGGTCCCATCCACCTCCACGTCCACACCGCGAAACATAGTGACACACACAGAGTAGAGCTGCGGTTCTCTCCTTTGGCCTACGATCTCAGCGTGAGAAACTCTATCTCGCCGTTATCAGCGTCTCTCCCCCTGCTCCAGCGACTTGAGGTGGTTCGGTCCACAACTGGGCCTCTTCCATTGGCTCTGCAGTCAGGGGGAGACGACAGGAGCCTGGACCAAACCATTCGGGCTACTGACTCCCTTGCAACCTTTTTGGACCGGGGCAAATCCTGCTACGATTGGTCAGAAGCCATTTTGGAAGTGGGCAACACCAAATAATTTTCAAGGAGTTACTACCAACCCTAGAGAGAGGTGGCTTGAGATGTTTGCATTGTAAGGGGATAATTCTGTCTCCGGATTTCGTAACCTTGGAACATTTTGAGCTGGATAAATCTTTGTGTGGAGGTTATAAGATGCTTTGTGAGATATGGGGCAGCATCCTTGGTTTTTCTACCTACTAAATGTCAATAGCACTCCCCAAAACATGTCTCCAGATATTGCCAAATGTCCTCTGGGAAAGAAAAATCACCTCTAGTTGAGAATCACTGTTCTCTCTGAATTCCAAACCGGGTTATGACTCAAAGCTGCCTATAGTGGTGGTTTATTCCATTTACACACACACACACACACACACACACACACCCCACAGTGAATTGGACCCAGGCGTGCTCTACCACTGAGCTACATCGCCAACACCCCTTCCCTTTTAAAAACTTTTATTTCGAGACAAGGTTCCACTAAGTTGCCAAGGCTGAAAGTGGTCTTGCAAACCTCCTCCCCAGCCTCCCCAGTTATATGCATGGGGTTATAGGCAGGCACCACTGTCTTAATGAAGAAACAATCACCATTTCTGCCCACCTGTCTACAACTAGATCCCATAACTGGGCAAAGTTATTCAATGCATTCTGAAAACATTCCCTCTGTCTTCCTTTTGTATGTGCACGCAGCTTTTCAGATGCCTGCAGCAGCTGTTCAAAAATCCTGGCCTAATCCATTCTCCACACGTGTGGAGTGAAGCCCAGAAAATTTGTGAGTTGTTGAACCAAAACAGGACACAAGAGCATCAGGATGACACCAGGAGCTCTAACCGAGGGATGTGTAGGAATTACATGTTGATGTCCACATTACACATTTATCACAATGAAGAGAAGGACTTAACACCAATGCTTCTGAGGCCTCTTCAGGAGTTGTTCTTTTAGAAGTCTCGTGAAACTTGATCTTTTTTCTCTTCAACATCCCATGTTTATTGAACATTTCTCCTATCTCAGTCTGAAAATTTCACAGTGGCTGCAACCACATCTGTTTTGCTTACCAGATAACCAAAATAATACCTGGCCCACAACAGGCATCCAACATTTGATCAATGGAGATCATAGTTTTATGTTTATGTATCATATAACAATAAACAGCCATTACTGTTAGAGTCACACTTGTTTTTTCCTTCATTCTGATTAACCTCACTTCATTTAATTCATCTCATGACATTCTGTGAATTACTCTAGATTAGCTATTCTTATTTTCAAATTCCAAGTTTATGAAGAAAAGCAGTAATTAGGGGCTGGGGTTGTGGCTCAGCGGTAGAGCACTCGCCTAGCACATGTGAGGCCCTGGATTCCATCCTCAGCGCCACATTAAAATAAAGGTATTTTGTCCAACTACAACTAAAAAATATATTTTTAAAAAAAGCTACTAATTATTGAAGGCTTACTACGGAGCAGGCATATCACATTTTCCCACAGCTTAATCCATTTCTCTAGCCAGCTAGTAAATATTTAGTTTTGCTGGTTACATACAAATTTTGTTACATATTCTTCTTTCCCATTCATTCTCATTCTCATTCATATTCCCTCTCCGTCTCTCTCCCCTCCTCCCCCTCCCTCCCCCTCCTCTCCCCCCTCCTTTCCAGCACCCCCACCCGCTTCTGTCCTACTGGGAATTGAACTCAAGGATATTCTACCACCTAGCTACACCAGAAACAGGATCTTACTAAACTGCTCAGGGTGGCTTCCAACTTGTGACCCTCCTGTCTCAGCCTCCTGAGTTGCTGGGATAGCAGGCATGTGCTACCACACCTTATTTTTCTTTCTTCTTCTTTTTTTTATGCAAAAAAAAATCCTTAGATGACGGGCTATACAAAAACATATTGTAGATAACGCATTATCTACATTTTTAAAACAAAATTAGTATTGTAGCCTACAGAAATTATCTAATATATCTTTATTTGACTCTTTTTTTTTCTTTTGGCATAAGCTACCCTTAGTAGAACGTAAGCTCCATTAGGACCAAAAGTGCTATTTTCTTTGCTTACCGACTTTTCTCCAGTGCCTGGAACAGTGTGTGGAATATACATATTTCTTGACTACAGGAATGAATGGTCGAACCTGATTTAACCACTTAATGCTTCAGGGAGGTCGTGGATACAGAGTTCTAATCATGAGATTTTGCTGATTCGACTGGTATTAATCAGTGCTGGGAGGAAGAGAATCTTTTCCAGAAAGGATGACCCAAATGCAAGAGGATTTTGGAGCAGGATAGAGGATGCTGGGGCAGGTACCTGCCCTTAATTGAGATGGCGACAAGGAAGACTGCCCTTTCCGGTCACATGACCTGCCAGTCGCAGAAGAGCCCCTCCCCGCGCTTGCGTGCTGCGCCGCGGCTGCGAGGCGCTGAGGGGAGAGGCGCCCGCCGCCAGCGCTGCTGAGGGGACCCGTTAGAGCGGAAGCGCCGCCGCCGCCGCCGCCGCTGCCGCTGCCTTCGCGGTTCCCGGGCCCCTGGTTCCCGGCAGGTGGAGGCGGGAGCCATGTCGAAGAGGCTCCGGAGCAGCGACTTGTGCGCTGACTGCAGCGGGCCGGGTGAGTCGCACCGGCCGGGCCCGCTCCCCTATGCTCCCCTGGCCGGGACCCCTGTCCCGGAGCCGCCCCCTCGAGGCCGGCGAGTTCCAGAGATGGAATCCCGCATCCCGCGGCCGGGGTCGTAGCGAGCGGGGCCCCGGGGTGGCCTTGGAACCAGACCTGCCCCGGGCCTGTCAGCCGGGCGGGCGGGGGGCCGCCGCCCTCCGCTCCCTCCCTTCCCCTTCGCCCCCTCGTCCGGGTCCGGCCGGCGGCGGGGTTCGCGGCCGCTCCCCCGACAGGAAGGGGTTTGGGCAATCCACAGGAAGACCCGATTACAGAAGTAATGCGAGCGTCCTCCCGGCTGCGGCCCCCAGAGGCTGCAGGTGTCACCCCTCGCCAGACCCCCGCCCCGCCAGCCCAGGGTGGGCGACACTCCCAGCTCAGCTCTTGGACACTTGCCAGAGGGTCTGGGTGGATGACGTCTCTGCTCCTGACATCCCGGCAGCCGCTCCACGGGAAGAATCTGCAGGACGAGGTCTTGCACACACTACCAGCTCTTAGGAGTCAGTGCGAGTCTCAAGTTTGGAGATCCCAAGGGCCTAGGTTCACGCTGGATTTTGCCTCTGAATGACCTTGGACTGGTGACTTCACTTGTCCAAGGCTTGATTTCCTCATTTTGCTGATGAGAATAACCTGATGAGTACCATGCTCTACATTTAGGGAGATTTCAGTGGTTCTTCTAAGAATTCTTTCACCTGAGCTGCAGCTACTGTTTTTTCTTTCTTTTTTTTTCTTTTTATTTTTTCTGTTATTCAGTTCAGAACCCTTGCAGTCCCCTAAAACTAGCGTGGAATTTCTAAATGGTACATGCATTACAGTTACCAGACACCCACACAGCCACTGGTAATATAAGCATATATGAGCACTAGGGCCCAAACCCTTCTCCCAACACATACTATTGAGATTTAAAAATCTGATCTGTTTTAGTAATTGGAACTCAATTGATTATTACATGTTGGTTTTGGTCCTTGGATTTAGCTACTTTGAGTTTGAAATAATTCAAATGCCAGATGATTTTTTTTTTTTTATGGTTCCACAGGGTCCGATTAGCAATCTTAAGTAAATCTTTGAAAACCAGTGGCTTTGCAACTGTTCCAATTTTCATCTTGTCACTTGAAAGCAAAGACTGATTTTAAATAGTATTGTGATAACTCAACCTTATATGGTTATTTCATGAATTGGATAGTACAGGTGGTGTTTCCAATTCCCTTTGAAGATGGGAATGGAGGACTTTAAGAAGAGAATTTATAGATCAAGTTTATACAGACTGTCATTTTCTCTAAAAATGTTCATTTGTTACACTTCCTTCTTTTCTTGCGCGTTTTCAGTCAAGCTTTCTGTGATCAGTTTGATTCACATGTGTCTGGCTTCAAACTTCCTCTTGAGATGCATATTGTTTGGTTCCTGATGGAGTATATGGGGCAAAAGCAAATTGCTCTTCTGTAGCCACTCTAAATACTGTCTTGTATTTTTGCAGCTTTTTGTGCATTTCAGAACATTTTTTCTTCCATTGTATCGTTTTAGTTGCCTTGAATACCAAACCTACAGAGACTTGAGTCATTTCCTTCCTGTTTTGAACATAATGAGGCTACCTTGAAGTGTTCTTTGAATTTGAACAGCTAGGGATTTGTGCTCCCTTTTCTACATGCCCTGGTGAAAGAGTTACCTATAGGATTAGGGGACCCTTTTGACAGTCTGATGAACACTAAGGCCTTCTCCCTGGAAAAATGAACCTATACTTACTCTTTCCCACAGAATTTACCTAAGTTGTCGGGGAGGATGCAGACATTTTCAAAGTCAATCTATAGTGACCATGGAGCCTAAGTTAAGCCCTGGCATCCATATAAACTGGAAGGGTTTTATCCAACCTCATTACTACAA